TTTTTTTTTTTTTTTTTTTTTTTTTTTTTTTTTTTTTTTTAAGATTACAGGCTGGTTGGAGATGACCAATATTTTCTTATAGGACGTGGAAACCTTTTTTTAATTGATGTAGAGGTTCACAGTGATATATAACATGTCAAAATGGACAATATCTACTAGCTGTGAAATTGAGGGCTATTACAAATGGTATCATAGTCAGTCATCGTGAGATGTGTCGGCAATGATATTGGACCCCAAGAGGATGAATTGTGAGATCTCACTAGTTGGTTGGACAGGTTGTGCAAATCGAATGTGAAAACCTCTCTCTGTAATAGACGTATTTTAAAACTGTGAGACTGACAATGATACGTAACAAGTAAAAATAAACAATATCTACTAACAGTAGACTTAGACTAATACATTTTTTATATAATGTTCACAGCTAAGTTGAAAAATTTGTTTATATTAATATGATATAATTTGATGGTACTTTTAAACAAAATATGTTCGATTTAGATCTGTAATTCCTCCGAATAGAGTAAAAAGAGAGATTGATGAATTATTTTAAAAGCCTGAAAAAGGAAAAAGAAAATAAAATGCAAAATTTATAATTAATAAATTCATTTCAAAATAGAATTTCAATTTGATTTTTTAAAGCTGTAATATTCCACTCTATTGCTTTCAAAGGATTGCTTGATTAAGCTTGTGGAATTTATAAAAAGAAAAAAAAAAGAGAAAAATTAATTTATACCACTAATTAAAATTACAAACTAATAATTGCATTAATTTAGATTATTTGTTAGTAATTTTTATTTATTTATTTATATTTAAAATAAAACAAAATAAATATTTTCCTAGAATAAAAAATAATAATAATAAAATATGGATTTTTTTTTATCTAAAAAAAGAAACTATTCGAAAAATTACTTCCTTCCCTATAGTAACAAACTCGAGTTGTTCAACCAATGGGAGCAGAAAGGAAGACACGTGGCAGAAGTGGATTGGATGAAGCTAGTAACTACACGTTTTGCGCGAGCAGAGAATTTGGGTATAAAAGGCCTTGGCATGCCATTTCTCTCTCGATTCTCTTTTCGATTGATTCCCCTTTCGCGGACTACCTTGCGAAGGTTTTATTTTCTTCGAGTGAGACTTTCCCGGCGAGATGGCGAAAACGGCGCCATTGATGTTATGTACCTTCCTCCTATTAGGAACCCTAACTCTCATCCAGGTAATTATTCTCGATCACTCTCAAATTTTTCGTTGAAATTGGATCGGTTTTTAGCGACAGGTTTTTCTACACTGAAAAGAAATGCTAATTTCTGTGCGGTCTTTCACGCGTTCTAGATCTGTAATGAATTCCGGTTTCGTATAGTGGTTCGAGAATGAGGTTTTAGATCTTTACGTTTTGTTTTAGTCGTTTGGATCGGAATGGGAATAAAGTTTATAAAGTGAAAGCAGAAAATTAATTTATGAAATTTATGCTTCCAGGCAAAGAAGTCGAAGGGGAATCTGAAAGAAGTGACTAACAAAGTTTACTTCGATATTGAAATCAACGGGAAGGCTGCTGGTATGGTTGATTTTTTTTTTTTTTTTTTTTGG